TTTGGTGAAACGAAAAGAGATTCTTCCAAGTTTCTGAAGCCTTGCAGCAGTAGCTGCAGCTCCAAGCGCTGTTTATGCAAGATTTTATTGCACACGAAGAGAAGAAATCTACTTGGATGCCAAATCAAATGTAAAATGGACGTAACTGTTGATGCAAGGAAGGAGAAATCTCACCATTCACTGCCATGAAGAGAACCTAAGCTGTCATTATTCCAGAGAACTGAGCCCTACAATATCAGACCACAGGTGTGTAAATAACTAAAGCTATATGTCAGCCTTGTCAGCCTGCTGCAGTAAAGGAAATGGAGTTTTTAGTACAGAGCGAGAAACCAATAAAAAAATATGGTGGGAAATAAAAAGAAGTTCCAAACAAATATCAAAGGGTGTATCTTCAAAGTTAGGCTTCCTGTCTGCTGGGGATATGATGGGGTTTTTAGCCAGTATGGGTGACAGATTATAAAGGACTTTTCAAAAAATCATGGGGCATATTGTACTGATTGTTAGACTAGTGCTCTTTGCTGTGAGTCTATTAGCATGAGTAGGTGCTTCAGCTTGCACCACAAATAGGAGAATTGGCATTCCTACTCAAGAGTGGGTGCCGCTACTATTTCAAGGAAGACCTTAAAAGCAGCCACCATCTTTTTGGTGATTGTTCCTGTATCTTGAGCAGCTTTGTAGTAAAGCTAGTAACACTTCACTGAGGTGCCATCTCTCCTGAGATGAAACTCAGAAATTGGAGTCCATACAGACAGCACCACCAGCTTGAGGTACGTATCAACAGCTGGTACAGACGTGCATAGAGACTTAGGCATGGTGTGATGGCTGATGAGAAGCTGAGATGTTGCTGATGCATTGCACATCAAGCACACTCATCCCGTAAGCTCTTCTCCATCAAATTCAGACCCTGAGTTGTCATCTCAGTGGTGAGGACCTGGATCTGGCTGCTGAGATAGATCCTGACCATCTCCACCTCCCTATAGGCAACATTGGCAAGTGAGTGGGGCTGCCCACCTGTCAATCATCTGACATCATTAAAATCTCCTGTGGCTAGTTCAAAGGGGCTTGCTGATTGGCTGTGACGGTGTGCCTTCAAAGGGGGTTGCTGTCAGTGCTGATCAGCTGATGGGTGCTGACAAGGAACCCTGCTTTGTCCATTTGCAGACCTGGTTTGGATTCAAACTGCAGCTGCAAATGGACATTTTTTCCTCTGCAAATCTGTATGCAGAGAAAAAATGTCCTCTTGCAGGCTCAGTTTGCATACAAGCCATGCTTGCAAATGGACAACATCGAAGGGGCTCACCGTTAGCCTCTTTGATCCTCTGATCGGAGTGTCTTCAAAGGAGCTCTCTGCTGAATGCCAGTCAGCAAGACCAGTGGTCAGGGATGTTGGCTGCCTATGGTCTAAAGTGTACCTTAAGTTCTGAAGATGGGACATCTGTTAGAGAAAAATTGCCTTAATTGAAATTCAGAGTAAATTTGGACGAAGAACCATTTGAGAAATTTTGAGGCACACCCAAACAGATTCAGTAAGACTTGCAAATATCTTAAGGAGATGGGGGGGCAGAGAGGGCAGAAACTTTTCAGCATTTTTCCAGATGGACAGAAGTAGTTAGATCACAGAGTTTATACAAGCATTTTGTCTGTGTGGTGATTATTGTTTTAGAACAGGGAATAAAAAGGGTGGCCCACTTCTTTGTTATTCCATGTCTTTCTTTCTTACTTACTTACTTACTTACTTACTTACTACATATATGCCAAAATGTTTTCTAAGTGGTTTATAAGTATAAAATCACTACATATTTAAAAGATACAATAACAAATCCCTTGGGGCCTTAAAACATCCTTTATTTAAAATATACAAAGAAAGCATTTAAAACAATAAAATCGGAAATTCTGTTCAGGGCAATGCTTGCCTATAATATTATTATTATTATTATTATTATTATTATTATTATTATTATTATTTGCATGTACTGCTTATATGTGGCCAATGGCATTGTTTTCATCAATTTAATTCACCTTATGTGAATTTGCAGGTGTATTTTTAGTTCGGATATTCAGGGAGAAGGTCTAACAGGCTAGTTCACATCCAACAAGCTATTATTTGGTTCTCTGGAAGATGTTCCATTTCATAATTGCATGTCAGTGCTATCTCACAAGCCATCAGCTGCAGGAGCTCAGAGGATGTGTAGCGGTTTCCAAAAAAGTTGGGCAGAAATTGTATTTTGTTTGCTGTTCCTGTTGGTGTTTGGGGAAAAAATGGATTTTGATAGAGATCTCACTGCCTCAGCACTTTTAAAAGCATGTGAATTGCCGTTGAGTACAGACTGCCATTGCAGCCATGCAGCTGTTAGCAATTGTGGAAAGTTACTGAGAAAAGCATCGCTTTAAATTACAAACTCTAGAACACGAGCATTGGCTTTTTGGCTAATTGAGTTAATTGACTGCCCTCTGCACCACACTTCCCAGATTGTCCAGTGGCTTTCTCCTGTGGAAATTGTAACAATGCTTGGCATTCTTGAAATACCCTTTCAAATCCGTTTTTTAAAGCTAGAAATCCAGTGTGAGAGCCAGTGTGGTGTAGTGGCTAAGAGCGGTGGACTCGTAATCTGGTGAACCAGGTTCGCTTCCCTGCTCCTCCACATGCAACTGCTGGGTGACCTTGAGCCAGTCACACTTCTCTGAAGTCTCTCAGCCTCACTCACCTCACAGAGTGTTTGTTGTGGGGGAGGAAGGGAAAGGAGAATGTTGGCTGCTTTGAAACTCCTTCGGGTAGTGATAAAGCGGAATATCAAATCCAAACTCTTCCTCTAGAAATCCAGAATTTTTGGGGGGAGGAGGGGTAGAATGGGAGTAAATTTAGGATCTCTGGGCCAGTTAGCACTACTTAGATCAGGAATGGCTCTACCAGAACCCAGACCATGCATATGCGTTCTTTGTTGGCATCCATCTGTCTCAAGAGACAGTGGAGTGTGCCTCCATGGGTGAAGTCAAACCGCTGTGCTTGCAGCACCACAGTGGTCTTTCTGGGACACAAGCCTGGGCAGTGTCTGTGGAGGTCCTGGCTTGGCTGCAGGAATTGCCAGGAGGAGGCATACAAAGCACCATCCAACTATCTGGTTGGGAAACTGGGAGGTTTCACGAGTGCTGCTGCTGGAGGAAGGACCTGAAAGAAAGTGGGCAAAAGATATTGGCCCTCTCTACCAATGTCAGGCTTTAGAGAATTGTCAGGGAATTGACTTCCTCCCCCGTGGCAATAAATAAGAAGATCAAATGAAAGGAACATCTTGCCAGTTAGATTCTTTCATAATCACAAAATGAAGGATTTAAATGAAGACCGTTTGATCAAATCAAAGATAAACTAGTTGGATGGTTACCATATTATCAGTTCAATGAGTTGCATAAGCTTGATAAGAAAAATGGTTTTGCAATGGGAAAATCCAAATTGGAAACGGAGTTGTTAGATACTAATGTTAAAAACATATCTAAAATGCATAATACAAAGGATGAACAAGTTAAATCTGTAATGATGGATTGGGCAAGAGATGTTGGACACAATATAATGTTGGAAGATTGGGAAAGGTTGTGGAAGAAAGGGGTTAAGTTCACTGCATGTACTGTATTAAAAGAAAACATTATGAAAACGATGTATAGATGGTACTTAACCCCAGTAAAATTAGCAAAGATCTACCATACTAATGATAATTTATGTTGGAAGTGCAAAGAAAAAGAAGCTACCTTTTATCATATGTGGTGGACATGTCCTAAGGTGAAAGATTTATAATGAGTTGAAAAAAATGTTGAAAAATACATTTGAGTGTTGAGGTGTCATCCTGCTTGCTGTGTGTAGGGTCCAGTTTGTCGTCACCCATCACTACATAGATTTGGCTGCAACACACATATGTACCTCACATGATGACTGCAACACCTAGTGATAACGGGTGAATTGGTCATCAAAGGTAGAAGGCCTAAGAATTTCATATCACTTCATCTAACATTTTTTCTGTTAGCACATTCAACTGCCAGTCATCATCAGCACAGATGTGTATTTGCCTCAGAAAACTAATGTTTCCACATGGGCTTCACATTCTTTTCAAGAGGTGGTATTCAATTAAGTTTTACTCAGAGCAGAGTAAAATTGAAATTAATGGATGAATTTTTGAAATTAATGGATGAATTTTTAAAATTTATTTATTACCCGCCCTTCACACTAATGTCCCAGGGCAGGTCACAACATCAAAACACAATATTAAAAACAGTTTCAAACAACTACGTCACTATGTTAATTTCAATGGGTCTACTCTCGGTAAAGCTTAGTTAAATACCACCAAGTGTGAAACTATTGTGAAAACTGAAACGAAGCTGAGGAACTAACATGGGGAACTTTTTTTAAAGTCTCACATAAGAGGCCTTGCTCTGCAAATGGCTACATGCCAGGAACAGTGTCCTAACACTTGCTTTCCTTGAAAATTCAGCCATTGCTGTTATGTAGAGAAAGAAGGCAAACTAGGACATTCATGGCACTGGGACAAGGAAGGGGGGAAAAAAGAATTTACAAATATCCTGAGTAATAAAGCTTACTTATTTTGCATCTGCAAACTCTCCCCCTCCCCGCTCATCTGAATATTTATGAACATCTGGATTATTAAGCGTTTTCTGGCAGGGATGATCAGAGAAAGCAAGATCATGGTGACTAACTGCTCAGACTCTCACATGCCCATCTTAATCAGGCTCTTTCTCCACTAGGGCTATTGATACAGACACAGATATAGATTTGCACATTCCTAATTTTACAAAAAGGCAAGCTGTCATTTCCTGCCTTATCTCGCCGCATTTCAGACAACTGCGAAATAATGTGCCAGCCGTCCAGAAAATGCAGCTGTCTCCACCCACATGGTGTGCCAGGGATGCACTGGGTAACAGAAGCGGTTCAGCCAGTGGGGTGGCGCACCAGTGCTAGCTTTCTAGCAGTTGTGCCACTGAGGGCTTACCTGGAGGGCAAACGGAGGTGGCAGGGAGGCCAGGAATGTGGAAGTACATTAGTGGAGCAAATCCAACTTGACCGCTTCCACTAATACACTTCCACAGTCCTGACCTCCCTGTAGAACTTGCTCCACCTCTACCTCCTGGTAAGCTGTGGCAAAACCACCGCTGGGCAGCTAGTGTTGCAGCTCTGTGTTGCAGATGAGCCATTTCTGATGGGTAGGTAAGCTATTTAATCAGAAGGTATAAAGAACCCACCACTTCTTAGCTTGTACAGTGAGTGCTGGATCCAGTTTTTGTTGCTTTTTGGATGGGGGCTCACTGGAGTCAACTCTTCTTCACTGCTGCCTGCCTCCTCTGAGACCAGGCCGTACAGCTGCTTCAATCACTGCTAACTTGGCAAAGTTCCAATTAATCGGAGGGATGTGCATCAGAACCATAACTGTCAACTTTTCCCTTTTTTTAAGGGAAATTCCCTTATTCCGTATAGGATTCCTCACAAGAAAAGGGAAAAGTTGACAGCTATGATCAGAACAGTTTGGATCAAAATGTACTACTACTACTTCTACTACTACTATAGTGGTACCTCAGGTTAAGAACTTAATTCGTTTTGGAGGTCCGTTCTTAACCTGAAACTGTTCTTAACCTGAGGTACCACTTTAGCTAATGGGGCCTCCTGCTGCCGCCGTGCCGCCGGAGCACGATTTCTGTTCTCATCCTGAAGCAAAGTTCTTAACCTGAGGTAATATTTCTGGGTTAGCAGAGTTTGTAACCTGAAGCGTCTGTAACCTGAGGTACCACTGTCCTATTATTATTATTATTATTATTATTATTATTATTATTACTATCCTGTGCATTGTTCCTTTATCACAGAGGTGGGGATGGGGGTTCTGTGACCCACCAGATATTATTGGGCCAAAGCTCCCATCAGGGAGTCTTCTCTTCTCATGAGGTGGCCAAAGTATTGGAGCCTCAGCTTCACGATCTGTCCTTCCAGTGAGCGCTCAGGGCTGATTTCCTTCAGAATGGAGAGGTTTGATCTTCTTGCAGTCCATGGGACTCTCAAGGGTCTCCTCCAGCACCAGAATTCAAACGCATCAATTCTTCGGTGATCAGCCTTCTTTATGGTCCAGCTCTCACTTCCGTACATCACTACTGGGAAAACCATAGCTTTAACTATACGGACCTTTGTTGGCAAGGTGATGTCTCTGCTTTTTAAGATGCTGTCTAGGATGTAGACATCTAGGATATAGGACCTAAATCCTCTTCCTCTGTGCTTTCCCTGGGAGGGCTGTTAGTCAGGCGGCTTCCACCACTCCTCCTCATCTAGCCAGTCCCTGACATTATCATGGATGAAGATGCACCTTGAGGAGTATGATTTTGAGGTTCAAAATGACTGGCAGCAAAACCGCTAAATAGCACCTCTCTGTTGGCACTCTGGCTGACTACTCATACATTTATTTTCATTCCTAGTTGTTCTCTGCATTGCCTATGCTGTTTGGTGGGGAGAAAATATCTGTGTTCCATTCCATGTATATATAACAGGAGAGGGTGTCATTTGGCTTGGAGGCAGCCACAGCATAAGTAAATGTTGAGATGTATTTGTGTCTCCCTGTAACTAGCAGTGCTCCAGTTGTGCTGGGAAATCTATTCTCTCCGAGGAGTGAGAGGTGCAAATTGTTCCCAAAATGTTAAGGGGAGATAGATAGATAGATATATATATATATATATATATATATATATATATATATAAAATCTGTGTTCATTAAACAGTGATAATTAGGTGACAGTTTATGCTACATCCCTTGAGAGAGCAATGGGTAAGCACAAGAGGCAAGTACAACGTGAGGATGTCATGGCAGAAGTGAAACATGCATGAGTATGTCCTTCTGCAACACATCATTGGCACAATCACAATGCATTTGTGGTGGATTCAAGGGCACCATCTGGGGTGTTGCGGGGCCCCTCATTTTTTTTATGTGCTCTATGGCAGGCATGGGATGCAGGTGGCGCTGTGGGTTAAACCACAGAGCCTAGGACTTGCCGATCAGAAGGTTGGTGGTTTGAATCCCTGTGACGGGGTGAGCTCCTATTGCTCAGTCCCTGCTCCTGCCAACCTAGCAGTTCGAAAGCACGTCAAAGTGCAAGTAGATAAATAGGTACCGCTCCAGCGGGAAGGTAAACGGCGTTTCCATGCGCTGCTCTGGTTCGCCAGAAGTGGCTTAGTCATGCTGGCCACATGACCCGGAAGCTGTACGTTGGCTCCCTTAGCCAATAAAGCGAGATGAGCGGCACAACCCCAGAGTCGGCCACGACTGGACCTAATGGTCGGGGTCCCTTTACCTTTACCTTACGGCAGGCATAGGCAAACTCAGCCCTCCAGATGTTTTGGGACTACAACTCCAATCATCCCTGACCACTGATCCTGTTAGCTAGGGATGCTGGGAGTTGTAGTCCCAAAACATCTGGAGGGCCGAGTTTGCCTATGCCTGCTGTACGGGGAGATGGTCTCAGACACCGGCCTGTTGGTATACCAACTCTGTGTTACAAGAATGCCTGCAAATGTGACATGGAGGCTGGCAACATCAACCAGGCCATGTGGGACTCTCTTGCAGATATCCACAGTGTCGGGAGGGGGTGGGGAGTCAGTCAGGTCCATAGCAGTGACCAGAGGAGAAATGACAGCTGGGAGGAACACAGAGAGAAGAAACACCATGGTTTACCTGCAGCAGCACAACCGGACTGCAACCTTCCAATAGTTTGACCTCACCCCCAAAGCACACTCCTCCATTGTCGCAGGAGACAGACAGATGCCAACCACACACTAAAGAAGGGCTAATCTGTGCCTAGGAAACAGCTGGGCTTCAGTTTGGGCTACAGGAAGTGCCCTGTTTGCCCAGCTGCTGACGCCATGCCTGTTTGCTGATGATTGGTGCTTTGATTCAGCTTTCAAACTGCAACACACCTTTAGCTGTCCGACATATGGGGCTTCTGGAATGTACGACTGACATATTCTTCAGCTTGGGGTGGAGGCCATGGGAAAAGACAGCATTATTAAATCATGCCTGTGCTGGGTAGGATACTGCTCTTGTGCATTAATTACTGTTATCTTCAGAACGAAAAGGAAAATAGCTGAGTTTTATCGGAGACTTTTTTTCCTGACCGCATTAATTATTGCCTCACTGAATTTATTATTTATTTTGCCAAGTACCTTGAGGCCCTTCCTGAAACAGCTTGGAATCTAGGTTAATGACATGACGTAACTTGCAGATGAAGAAAACAAATGGCTGGGTTTGATTTCTTCATTAGAGGCAGAATTAATCAATGCCAGAATTTGAAATACCCCGTTAACAAGGGCTTTGCTTCATGTCAATGACCCTTAGGAAGGTTCGCATGAATCTATGAGCATCCTTTGAGAAGAAAATGTGATGGGAAGGGAGGTGGAAAAAGAGGGGGAGGTGTGAAAAAGAGTGGGCAACGTGGTGGATAAGCAGAATCAAGAACTTTTTCAGTAAGAAGAGAAATGTCAAAATACAACAGGGGCCATTTGCTTGTTTGTATTAGGACTCCCTCCCTGCATGGTTTGGGTAAGAGATCAGCCCCTGGCCCACCCCAGCCATCTCCAACCATAGCTGTCAACTTTCAGATTTGAAAATAAGGGATCAGCAGCCTCACCTGTCCTGGAGACAGTCTACAGGATAACTAACAATCCAGGATAGCAGCGGGAAGCAGCGGGAAATGGCACTGAAATAAGGGAATTTCCCACAAAAAAAAGGGAAGGTTGACAGCTATGTCTCCAACAGGTTCAAAAGCTGTGACTTCCCATCCAAATTGGCTTTCCTAACAGTTATCCCCTAGAAGCTGATCACATGTAAATTATGATCATTGGCTGTTTCCCCAGGTATGAATGGAGATCTTCACTCACCCAAAAGAGAATCGTGTTTGGATCTTGGATCTCTGGCTATATGGCTGGCAACTTCTAGGGTAAGGAATACATTCTACAAAGCAAGCTGTAATGGAAATGCTTATGAATATGCAGGATGACTTTTTAAAAGTCACAAATAGCTGCAGAAATGTGGCCCATGGAACAGGAAACTGGGAAACTGGGAAAATTGGAAAGAGAGAGAAGCCAACATTAACAGATCTACCCGTCCCAACAATTCCACCCCAACCACCTTCTACATCAGAGAAGACCAATCTTTCATTCTGCAGCCAAACGTCTTGGGACCAGACATCCCCAACAGTGATGCCATTGTACCAAACATTTTGCCACCTCCATTCTACATTTCCTTTCAGAGGCATGGAAACCTGAACTGCAGCGGTGTCATGTCACTCAGCTTTGCTTACTGGAGGTTACAGGGGAGAGGGAGAGAAAGAGATGCAGGGCTGCGGTTTCCAGCAGTGCTAAATGTTGTGTGCCACTTGTAGTGGCTGGTTCTGCCTTTGCAAAACAAAGGGAAGCTCACTTTACAGACCACCACCAGAAAATCCAGTGGTATTCTCCCAGTTGGTCTAGGGCAGGCATGGGGAACCTCAGGTCCAAGAGCCAAAGGTGGCCCCCAGGCCTATCTATCTGGCTCCTGGGCCTCTTCCCACACCACACTCCTTCCCCAGTCACACCCTCTTCCCACAGGCCACATCCCTCACCAGCCTACATTATACACCTTCCTTGAGTGTTTCTCCTGCTGGGATTGTGTCATTGAACTCTGATAATGCCTCTTGTTTTCCTGGATAGAGATGTGTGTAGAAACTAGCCTACTGGACAAAGCTAAATTTCATATTGTTACAAAAAATTGGGTGTCTCTGCCAAGCACTAGCAAGATTACAGGGGGTTACAGGCACTCACACAGGGTCTATGTTCCTTTGGATAATTGAGACCTGATGGAGACTGTCACAGCTTTAAGAAATACGGTTTTTTTCCACCTATTTACACCTTCAGTCTGCATGGAGGAAGTCCATATCTTACAGCACGGTCATTGCAAGAGGGGCTTGAAGAGCCAGTCTGCCCAAAATGGATCCCAGTCTTTCTTCTCCCCCATTCTTCTTCCCAGAACACCTTGCTAAAAGACTCCTGTCACCTCACACACAGTTACCCTGGCACCATCTGTCTCCCCAGGCCAAAGGATTTCC